TCCTAAAGCAAAGAAACAGAATATTAACACAAACACTAACATAACTATATTTAATAAAGCCACAAAGAAACGTAATATTTCCAAAAATTATGTTAGGCAGGACTTATTTCTGGGTTTGTGTAGCATCACTGTGACCACCATCCTAAAGCAAAGAAACAGAATATTAACACAAACACTAACATAACTATATTTAATAAAGCCACAAAGAAACGTAATATTTCCAAAAATTATGTTAGGCAGGACTTATTTCTGGGTTTGTGAATCACTAGATTTTAGATTATATTATGACTGCTATCCTCTGCCAACTAGTTTATACAGCAATTTCAGTCTTGAAAACAGTTCTACTACATAACCTATAGTAAAACCCATATAAATTTCCCACTCGGGGACAGGCCGCGATTTCCAACACTGGCAGTTTAGAAAAATGGATGTTGCTGTGCCATTATCAAACTATATCAGCTGAATCCTACATCAGGATATAAAAAGTGTGCATGCATCTGTATCAGCATAACCATATTAGCCAAATCCTAACCCTATCCAGTGCGTAAATGTGCAAGGGTGGAGGGGGGATGGTGTTGATCTTAAAGTATAATCAACACTAAACCAGCTTACCATTTTAGTTTTCAAATCTGCTTCAATGATACTGTATAAAATGACAGCACCAGACTTTGTTCCCATTGCTATCATCTCTACTCTTTCTGAAGACTCTGGAGTATCAATTTCTCCAGCTTCCTTTTTCTTTTTCCGCCTTACAGGCTTTTCCTGAAGAAAGTGACACATACAATCATAAATTCACATAATCGAGGTGGGAAGTGTGTTAGTCTTACTGTTAGATTATGCACACAACCTTACCATCCAACCTACCTAATAAACTAGCCACCTGTCAACTTCTAACACATACTTTGCGCAGAAGCCACATGCCTTTAATGTCAGAGTAAATAGTGGGGTAAGGTTGAGAAGTAAGGAAACGATTGATTTAAGCATGATAAAAATAGAAATAAGAAACAGAGATCATGATTCATGAGATCAGAAGTAGATGAAGTGTGACTTCAATAAACAAGGGAAATTCGTCATTTACTAGCCTTAGAATACCTACGATTTACTACGCGTAACTCAACCAACTTGAGCTCAAATCGTACACAGTACATTCGCCTAGCATCGTGCAAAATCATTTCCTCGTATACACCAGCAATCCGGAGATACAGACTAAAACGTATGACACGATTATCCATTCTTTGGCCATCAATCCGAACGTATTGTCCGCCGAACTTGAAACAAAAGGCAGCTAGTGATGCACTCTTGCTCACTCAGCGAGGCGGTGTGGCTCGCTGGGAGATTGGAGATGGAGCTGCTGCTGATTGCGGTGGGCGTGCGTGCGTGGGGGGCATACCAGCTGTATGCGGTATGCCGGTATGTAGCTGTAATAGCCTGTATGCCGGGTCAAAGGTTATCTCGCCGAGTGTTGCGTCGATGTCCAATTTCCCAGCGAGCCACACCGCCTCGCCGAGTGAGCAAGAATGCGCTAGTAGCTGCCTTTACTTTAGTTTCAAGTTCGCCGACAATACGTTCGGATTGATGGCCAAAAAATGGATAATCGTGTCGTACGTTTTAGTCTGTATCTCCGGATTGCTGGTGTATACGAGGAAACGATTTCGTACGATGTACCCTACTGTGTTACGTGTACGATTTGAGCTCAAGTTGGTTGAGTTACGCGTAGTAAATCGTAGGTATTCTAAGGCTAGTAAATAACGAATTTCCCTTGTTTATTGAAGTCACACTCCTTCCCTATTATCTACTCCTGATTATATCAATTCTTCCCGAAACACTGAACTTTTTACTTTTACTAGTTTAGTTTTACTTTTAGTTTTACAACACATGTCAAAAACAACTCACTTTTGCGTGTCGTGTTGGACACCAACATATACAAGTACATGTTGCTGAAAGATGGGAGGCTGGTGTATATTCCTGCTGCAACGTTCCCGTGCTTGTTTCCCATAATTTTAACCTTCCGTCAGGACTAGAATACGCTAAATATTCTCCACTAGGAGAAAACACTCGTGGATCTACGACCTCCATTTTTGAACACGTGGGGCGCTAGGGGCGCTGCAGTCGACGTTCATTTGTTTTGCCATAGACGCAGGTTGTACAAATTCACTGGTCATTTCATATTATTATTACATCGATGGGCCATAGTTTAATTAAAAAAAAATTTAAGACTGGGACAATACATGTATGTCTATACTATACGTCTATAGTTAAATAGTTATACACTCAATATTGAATATATATATAAATTACAATAAATGATATATATTATTATTAATTATTATAAATATAATGATTATAAGTCTATTTGATCAACTTGTCTCTTTCCGTCTTTGATAGAGTCCTTCGGACTTTGGAGACTATTATTCATGAGGTTACGCGGTTATGATTTAATTACGTTGAAAAGAATTACCAATTATTCTCAAGCTTAAAATTACAGTGGCGAAGTTTTGAAATTCTCTCAATAGATGGCACGCTACGGCATTACTACGCGGCGTCATCAGTGGGCGTCATGCGCGCGAGTAGTCAAAAACAAACGAAGAGAAGCGTGAAATGAGGCCAAAGTAGAGGCTAGCAATAAAACTTCGTCGTCCAACTCGTCGTGTGTTTGCAAGAGCTCACAGTGTGTTACTTGTGTTTACATCCCAAATTTTGTGACCATTGAATAGAGTGTGAGTACAGTGTATGACTATGTCGTTGCACGTTTTGTTTCGATCTCCCTCCGTGACTGCCGCCGTTGGTGTTGGCAGTAATCGAGACGATCGATGCTTTGCCAAAGCCAAGCCTTCGGCTTCTCCGACAAGGTTGATGCCAATGCCGATCTTGTTTACGCGCGCGCGCGTGTGTGTGTGTGCGCGCGTGCGTGTGTGTGTGCGCGCGCGCGTGCGTGTGTGTGTGTGCGCGCGCGCGCGTACGTGTGTGTGTGTGTGTGTGTGTGCGCGCGCGCGTGCGTGTGTGTGTGTGTGCGCGCGCGCGTGCGTGTGTGTGTGCGCGCGTGCGTGTGTGTGTGTGCGCGCGCGCGTACGTGTGTGTGTGTGTGCGCGCGCGTACGTGTGTGTGTGTGTGCGCGCGCGCGTGCGTGTGTGTGTGCGCGCGCGCGTGCGTGTGTGTGTGTGTGTGTGTTTGTGTGCGTGCACGTGTGTGGGTGCAACTGGGTGCAGGGTGGTGCCAGGTGCAACTGTATCCTTGCCTCCCACTATAGCTACGGCCCAGGATATGAATCACAATAATTACTAATGCACAGTTTAATGTCAGCTATACTTGCATTGCAATTCACAGGTCCCAGTCTCAAGTAATAACGATGTCATTCTGTACATTCAAAGGTGGAGAGGTGTACAAGGACCACTGGAAAACAGGTTTGGTGATGCTTCTTACATAATATCAAGAGCTAATATAAATACCAAATTATTTATTAGTTCTTGATAATCTAATCTAATATATATTTGAGTTCGTATGTATGTATCTATGTATG